CATATGCGTTCAGCATTAGAAAAATTTTTTTTCTTCTTCTAAAATTCTTTGTGTACTAAGAGGGGAACAAATTGTACAATGCACATATATAATTATTCATAAAGAAAATCTAAAACATCAAAATCATAAAAATTCCACAAGCAGCATCAAAATATAAGGGTTTCACAGTACTTATGGTATTTTAAACTGGAACTGACAGTCCTGTTACAGCTATACAGTTTTTTTAAATAAAATAGTGTACACAGCAAAGATAGTTTATAGAGTGTAGCACAATGAAATAGCTTTCAGCTGAATTTCATTATTTACAGTTGAATTTGGATTGGTTGTTTTATTTTGTATGTACTGAATCTGTGTGATATAGATTTTTGCCCAAGACTGTACTCTATGGTGTTCCCAGTCTGAGACTTTTGGGAAATTAAATACAGTATCTCACAAAACTGACCCCCCCCCCCCCCCCCGTGCATTTTTGTAAATATTTTATTATAACTTTTCATGTGACAACACTGAAGAAATGACACTTTGCTACAATGTAAAGTATTGAGTGTACAGCTTGTATAACAGTGTAAATTTGCTGTCCCCTCAAAATAACTCAACACACAGCCAGGGGCGGACTGACAACTCATAGGGCCCCTGGGCAATAGGGGATCATGGGGCCCCTGTGTCCTTGCCCACACTCAAAGCACACCCAAAAAAGCCTATAAAAGGGACCAGAGGCATTTCATGGGGCCCCCTACTGACCCCAGGCCCTCGGGCAGTGCCAGAGTGCTCAAATGGTCAGTCCACCCCTGCACACAGCCATTAATGTCTAAAGCGCTGGCAACAAAAGTGAGTACACCCCTAAGTGGAAATGTCCAAATTGGGCCCAATTAGCCATTTTCCCTCCCTGGTGTCATGTGACTTGTTAGTGTTACAAGGTCTCAGGTGTGAATGGGGAGCAGGTGTATAAAATTTGGGTGTTATCGCTCTCACTCTCTCATACTGGTCACTGGAAGTTCAACATGGAACCTCATGGCAAAGAACTCTCTGAGGATATGAAAAAAAGAATTGTTGCTCTACATAAAGATGGCCTAGGCTATAAGAAGATTGCCAAGACCCTGAAACTGAGCTGCAGCACGGTGGCCAAGACCATAGAGCGGTTTAATAGGACAGGTTCCACTCAGAACGGTCCTCGCCATGGTCGACCAAAGAAGTTGAGTGCATGTGCTCAGTGTCTTATCCAGATGTTGTCTTTGGGAAATAGACATATAAGTGCTGCCAGCATTGGTGCAGAAGTTGAAGGGGTGGAGGGTCAGCCTGTCAGTGCTCAGACCATATGTCGCACACTGCATCAAATTGGTCTGCATGGCTGTCGTCCCAGAAGGAAGCTTCTTCTAAAGATGATGCACAAGAAAGCCCACGAACAGTTTGCTGAAGACAAGCATACTAAGGACATGGATTACTAGAACCATGTCCTGTGGTCTGATGAGACCCAGATAAACTTATTTGGTTCGGGTGGTGTCAAGCGTGTGTGGTGGCAACCAGGTGAGGAGTACAAAGACAAGTGTGTCTTGCCTACAGTCAAGCATGGTGGTGGGAGTGTCATGTTTGGGGCTGCATAAGTGCTGCCAGTACTGGAGAGCTACAGATCATTGAGGGAACCATGAATGCCAACAATTACTGTGACATACTGAAGTAGAGCATGATCCCCTCCCTTTGGAGACTGGGCCGCAGGGCAGTATTCCAACATAACGACCCCAAACACACCTCCAAGATGACCACTGCCTTGCTAAAGAAGCTGAGCATAAAGGTGATGGACTGGTCAAGCATGTCTCCAGGCCTAAACCCTATTGAACATTTGTGGGGCATCCTCAAACAGAAGGTGGAGGAGTGCAAGGTCTCTAACATCCACCAGCTCTGTGATGTCGACATGGAGGAGTGGAAGAGGACTCCATTGGCAACCTGTGAAGCTCTGGTGAACAGAAGCTCTGGAAAATAATGGTGGCCTCACAAAATATTGACACTTTGGGCCCAATTTAGACATTTTCACTTAGGGCTGCACTCGCTTTTGTTGCTGGCGGTTTAGATATTAATGGCTGTGTATTGAGTTATTTTGAGGGGCCAGCATATATACAGTTATACAAGCTGTACACACACTACTTTACATTGTAGCAAAGTGTCATTTCTTCAGTGTTGTCACATGAAAAGATATAATAAAATATTTACAAAACTGTGAGGGGTGTACTCACTTCTGTGAGATACTGTATATAGCAAGTAAAATCACAGGCCTTTCAGTGCTTTCAGGGTAGATGTCCTGCTCATTAGTGTATTGAGGTTTTGTGCTGCCCTAGGCAACTCAAAAATCATCTGCCCCCACGGACACCGACCAACACCACCCCCAATTCCCCCTCCAGCAAAGAGAGCTTGACATTGCTGACAATGACCAACAACACCCCTTCCACTACCCCCCACCACCCCCGGCGACAGAGAAAAAAGATGCTCATCTTCACATCTCCGGACATCCCTGGGAACAAGAGTCAGGCTCTGCATACACCATCAAGCAGCCTGCAGCCTCACTCGGATCCCACGTGGTTCCCATGGCATGCGTGCCCCTTCTTTCATCCCTTCTTCTGGGGGGAGGTGCTGCCCCCCTGGAAACTGCTGCCCTAGGCAAGTGCCTTGTTTGCTTTGTGGTAAATATGTCCCTGGTCCTGTTTTAACATGAAAGAATATTGCTTTCCATAATTCTGTTAAACACAAAGCCATATGTGTTGTGTAGCCAAAATCCAAAGAAATGTCACTTTTGCCCTGCAGGAGGAAAATGGATCTGTATTATACCTTACACTGGATGTATTAGAGGCTGACTGTCATGTCCTGAGCCGGAAACTGTGGAAAGAATGTCGAGCCAAGCCCCGACATGAGGCTGTAAGTACATCAGAAAGTCCTGAGGATTCTGCATATTCTCTGGAGAAAATAAAGTGATTTTTAAATAAAAGAAGCAGGTTGGTGGGCAGAAGTTGTACATATATGGGCCAAAACAATTCACCTGACTGATATATAATTGCAAAGGTGTGATACTTTTGTTCCTGAAACGTTTTAATACCATAACTTGATCACTTAGGAGGACATTATTGTAGAACTGTATCTTTTGTTTGATCATAATCAAAAAGTGCTTCTTTATCAAATGACCTTAAATCAGAATAATAATAATAGTAGTAAGCAAACTTAAATAAGTAAATAAACAAAAATATAAAGTCCCATACACCTAAAGTCCAAAGTAAAGTCCAAATGTCCAAAAAGATCTTTGCAAGTGATTTCCCAATTACTCTTTATCCCCGGATCAGATTGGTGATATACTCCAGAAAATCTTCAAATACCTCAAAGAAAAAAATCTCAACATAGTATATTACCCCAGATATTAAAATAAAGTGCCACATGTGTCACATGCAGATACAAAAACAAAAAGTGCCACAGCAATCGTGAGATCTCAAGGGCTAATAATTCAATTAGTAACTCCACTGCACACAATATAAAAAGTGCATAATTACCCCAACATAGATAAAATCAGCATAGAATAAGGGGTTTTGGAAAAAGAGTTACCGCTAAGGAGTGGGTTCTTTTTGGACTATCTCACTACATGGAAGCTGTTTTCATCAAATTTCAATGTAAGTTGCTACAATAAAATATGTTTATCTTTTAATACACATACTGATCCCCTGGTCTGTTTATGAGGTCTATGGGCAATGGCTGGAGAAGATAATAGAACTATGTTTGGAGGCATTCTCATCTATACTATGGATTCTATGCTGATTTTATCTATGTTGGGGTAATTATGCACTTTTTATATTTTACTTTGGACTTTAGGTGTATGGGACTTTATATTTTTGTTTATTTACTTATTTAAGTTTGCTTACTACTATTATTATTATTTTTGTACTTCAGGGGAAGGAATGTTAAGTAACTTATTGGGGTTTTGGTAGAGGAAGTGAGTGCTAATTTTTGTATTGCTTAAATCAGAATAGCAATATCTAATAGGAACCAGTCCCTTTGACATACTGGTGAAGAGGCTCCATCTGAACAGTATGACTAACCTAAAGGGTAATTATCCTTGATGATGTAGACATCTACAAGATTTTTGCCATGGCGCTATTTCTGCCACTGTATCATTACACCAAATAAATGTTGTTTTTTTACCTTAAAAGTAGTTGTTTATGGTAGAACTCTCCACTTACCTGGGCTTCATAATCTGAAAAGAAAAGTTAGATATAGAGGCGTTCATTAATAAAACAATTGTTGGCGATTTGAGTTTAAAGTGTTTACATTAAATCAATGTCTAGTATAGATACAATGGCTGCAATTGTACCACTATTACAGAATACTATTACAGGGTTGGAGATCTGCCCTGGGAAGCTGGTCTTTCTGCATGTAAACTAGTAACAGGTTCAAGGGATGTATTTATTAATGTGTTTCATGCCAAGGGGACAGTAACTATTCACTTAGCAGATCACATCTTATCCCCAGCTTTGTAAAAATACTTTTATTTTGTTTTGATACAGATATACTAATGAACAATGTTATTTTTAAAGGTTTTTGGACAGTGCAAGTCATATTTCAACTTAACAAACCAAAAAGGATTGCTCACCTCCACTATTATGACTGCACTATGACACCAGGTATGGTAAATGTCCTACTGGAATAACAAACATATAATATAACAAAATGCTACAAAACTCCTGATTGCACAAAAAAAAGTTTCAAGGTGACCCTCACATATGTAACTCTAAAGCTAAAGTTCACACACCATTTCTGGACCCATATACAAAATGCACTGCTCTTTAGCAAACATGCGGGGTGTCTTCTTAATTCTTAATTACATTGGAAAATGCAGTGCATTTTTGGATGTGGGATATTGCATGGTATCATAGCACCATGAAGGTTTGTACGGCGCGTTTTGGAAAGTAATTGTTGGGGGTCAAATGAATGGGTTGCTGTGTCCACACAAATGCACCCACACAATGCAGTGGTGTGAACTTAAACTAACAGGAGATATCAGTTTTTCTCGTCTGTTTCCCATTTTTTATGGATAAAGAGTTAGGCCTAATTCATATAGATGCTAGGAGTCTTAATCCATGAATGGGCCATGTGTTTATGCAGCTTGAGCAGCCTGGTGCTGTGTGCACGCCAGGGGTGGACTGACCATTTGGAAACTCGGGCACTGCCCAAGGGCCCAGGGTCAGTAGGGGGCCCCATGAGATGCCCCTGGTACCTTTTTCATAGGCTTTTTTGAGTTTGGGCAAGAACACAGGGGCCCCATGATCCCCTATTGTCCGGGGGCCCCATGAGTTGTCAGTCCGCCCCTGGTGCACACAACACATTCAAGTCTAAAGGGATTCAGTGGCTGAACGGACACTTCTGCTTGTACCAATTTGACAGCTATGTGATGTGGATGAGTGGCTCTGAATGCACACTGTCTGTGCATTCACAGACTATAGGGCTAAGTGCCTGTGTGAATGAGGCCTTAAAGCATTTTTATGTGGCTGAGAAGCCAAGTATGCAGTAAACCTTTATACTTGTCTTTGCTTTTGAAACCGTAATACAAGACCTTTATTCATGCATAATTTATAATTTACAGACAGCTAAAGGCCTTCAATGGTGTCCAATTACCTGAAGGTACCAGCTTATAGTCCAGAGTCTATGAATATTCAGCCAGTGTCCTATACTGTACTATTAGGATGTTTCTTTATTCACCCCACTAACAGGCTTAGTTACTAGAACAGGCTACAGACTTTAGAGGATGGCCAGCTCAGCAAACACAAACTGACCACTCTTTTTGTTAGTAAAAATCTTTATTGGGGTTGTACACAGAACACAGGTCAAGTGCAATAGAATACATTGTTGTTATTATTATACAGATTTTTATAGCACCAACAGTTTGTGCAGCACTTTACAACATGAGGGCAGTCAGTACAGTTACAATACAATTCAATACAGGAGGAATCAGAGGGCCCTGCTCTTTAGAGCTTATATTCTAAAAGAGAGGATCAAGTGATACAAAAAGGTAATAACTGTGGGGGATGAGCTGATGCAGAAAGTGGAAGTACAGTTGTTAGGTGGAGGTAGGATAGGATTCTCTGAAGAGAAGGGCTATCAGGGATTGCCTAAAAGTGGACAGTGTAGGAGATAGCCAAACAGATCGGGATAGGCTGTTCCACAGGATGGGGAGGCTCAGCAAAATTCCTGGAGGTGAGCCTGGGAGGAGGTGACAAAGGAGCTAGAGAGCTGGAGGTCTTGGAAGGAACAAAGAATGATTTGGTTGGTATTTTGAGATCAGGATAGTGATGTAGCTGAGGGCTGAGTTGTGGATGGCTTAGTAAGTTATTGTTAGTATTTTAAATTTAATTCATTAGGTCAGTGGCAGCCAATGGAGAGATTGGCAGAGAGGGGTAGCAAACATTGAACGGATGGTAAGGTGGAAGAGCCTGGCAGTAGCATTCATGATGGACTGAAGGGTGGGGTAGCCTATGTAAAAGTAATTCAATGAGCAGTGAGTTGCAGTAGTCAAGGCAAGAGATGACCAGATAGCGAATTAGAGGCTTTGTGGTGTCATTGGTTAAGAAGTGGCATGTACTGGAGATGTTGCGGAGGTTGAGGCAGCAAGCTTTGAACAGTCATTAGATGTGGGGCTAAAAGGATAGTTCAGAGTCCAAGATTACATCCAGCTCCCGGGCATGGTGGGACAGGTTGATGGTTGTGCCATTGATCTTGACCAAGAATTCAGGAGAAGGTGCACGTGGGGGAGAAAATATTGAGTAAATATTGACAGGCATTGTAATAATAATAGCCTGAATATCCAGAACATTAGATATAACAGTTTGAAGTGCAGTTTTAAACAGATCACAGATATCTTATTCAAAAGGGGAGCCAGGAGTAAGGAGAGTGGGGGGGATGAGGGGGGAAAGGGAGAAGATGGAGCTTGGAGATAGAGGAAGAGAAAAGGGATGGGAGGGAGGAGAAAAACAAAAAGGCAGTAGCCAGTTATGCACACAAATCGATATATGGAGACTTGCCCCATTTGGAGTGAGGCATTTATCCAATTGGACCAGATTTTACCAAATCTTCTCAGGCAATTGCGGCTAGTATATGTTAACTTATACACTGCTCAAAAAAATTAAAGGAACACTTCGAAAACACATCAGATCTCAATGGGGGGAAAATATCATGCTGGATATCTATACTGATATAGACTGGGTAATGTGTTAGGAATGTAAGGATGCCCCATCGTTTGATGGAAATGAAAATTATCAACCTACAGAGGACTGAATTCAAAGACACCCTGAAAATCAAAGTGAAAAAATGATGCAGCAAGCTAGTCCATTTTGCTAAAATTGAATTGCAGCAACTCAAAATGGTATTTAGTAGTTTGTATGGCCCCCACGTGCTTGTATACATGCCTGACAATGTCAAGGCATGCTCCTAATGAGATAACGGATGGTGTCTTAGGGTATTTCCTCCCATATCTGGACCAGGACATCACTGAGCTCCTGGACAGTCTGAGGTGCAAGCTGGCAGCATCGGATGGACTGAAACACGATATCCCAGAGGTGTTCTATTGGATTTAGGTCTGGCAAGCTTGGGAGACTTTCAATGGTATCAATTCCTTCAGGAACTGCCTGCATACTTTTGTCACATGAGGCCAGGCATTTTCGTTCACCAGGAGGAACCCAGGACCCACTGCACTAGCGTACGGTCTGACAATGGGTCCAATTATTTCATCCCGATACCTAATGGTAGTTAGGGTGCCATTGTCTAGCCTGTAGAGGTTTGTGCGTCCCTCCATGGATAAGCCTCCCCAGACCATCACTGACCCACCACCAAAACAGTCATGCTGAACGATGATACAGGCAGCATAACATTCTCCATGGCTTCTCTAGTCCCTTTCACGTCTGTCACATGTGCTCAGGGTGAACCTGCTCTCATCTGTGAAAAGCACAGGACGCCAGTGGCAGACCTGCCAATTCTGATGTTCAGTGGCAAATGCCAATCGAGCTCTATGGTGCTGGGCAGTGAGCACAGGGCCCACTAGAGGATGTTGGGCCCTCAGGCCACCGTCATGAAGTCTGTTTCTGATTATTTGGTCAGAGACATTCACATTAGTGGCCTGCTGGTGGTCATTTTGTAGGGCTCTGGCAGTGCTCATCCTGTTCCTCCTTGCATAAAGGTGCAGATACCAGTCCTGCTGATGGGTAAAGGATGTTCTACAGCCCTGTCCAGCTCTCCTAGAGTAATTGCCTGTTTCCTCCATGCTGTTGAGACTGTGCTGGGAGACACAGCAAACCTTCTGACAATAGCACATATTGATGTACCATCCTGGGGAAGTTGGACTGCCTGTGCAACCTCTGTAGGGTCCAGGTATTGCCTCATGCTACCAGTTCCTAGCCACAAAGTACAACACAGCGAGCTGCACCTCAGGCCCCCATGGATCAAGGCCGACATGGTGCAACAGTTCCAGCTACTCCAGCCAGACTCTGGAGTACGCAGACCACATCGCTTCACTCACCGAAGGCCGGATCCAGCCTGAGACGACCCCAAGGCAATCTCTCACAGCCAGTCGGGACAGGGAACCCCGCATTGCTCTGCAGTTGGTGCCAACTCTCGGAATCTGTCCCACTGAAAACGAGGCAAAGCATCAGCCAGAGCGCTATCAACCCCAGGGAAATGCACAGCATAGAGAAAAATATTCAACTGAAGCAATGCAACACCAAGTTACGAAGCAAGCCAATCAGCAGCTGCGAAGAAGCAGAGACACGATTGATGACCTGAATCACCCCAGATTATTACAGTGAAAGCGAACCTTCAAATTCTGAGAACACTCCTCCCAAACTTCCACCGCCAACACAACCGGAAAGAGCTTCAACAAAACGAGATTGTGAAGAAAACTCACCGCCCGCCATGGAGTCGCACTCCACTGACCCTGGAAAAAGGCCCCATAGCCCACGGAACCTGCCGTGTCCGTGAACAGCTCCAGATCAAAATTGCTCATTGGGCCAGACATCCACAGAGCCCACCTGTTAAAATAATCCAAAAAACTGTGCCAGATCCGCAAGTCCGCCCGATGCGAATTAAGCGTATGAAATGCAAAGGCGACCCCATACATTGCTGCTGACAACCAGCAACAAAACTCCCGACCCATCGGCAGGATGCGACAAGCAAAGTTAAGCTTGCCCAACAATGAATGCAAGGCCCGCAGCTGTATCTTACACTTGTTCAAGACTCCACGAATGTCAACCTGGAGGGCCAACAGCTTGTCCTCAGGCAGACTACACTCCATAGTGCCGGAATCCAACACACCCAGTGCACAAAGGAACTGAACGTCTCGAACAATGCGCAGGAGATGGAACACCCCATGGGAAGGCACCGATCAACATAAAACGCGGCGCCCTACCAATGACAACCCAGTAAACGAAAGCTGTCAGGATGCACCGGCAGCAGCAGAAATGCCAATTCGATGTCTGATTTGGCCATGAGAGCCCCCTGCCCATAACGGCGAACCCAGAAAATAGCCGCATCAAAAGACATATAAGACACAGTATACGACTCCAGAGCGATAGCGTCGTTCACCGACCCCCCCCCCTTTGGGGAAGGAAAGATGATGAATCAGCCGAAAAGCATTGGGCTCTTTTTTGTGTATCACCCCCAAGTGAGAAACCACCAGATCTGGCAGTGGCGCACAAGAAAATGGGCCACCATGCATCACAACCCCACTTCCTTACACAACTTAGCAGAAACCACCTCAGGATGCTGCAATGCAGACCACAAATTCCGCGCCAACGGCGGAATCGAAGCCAAATTACAAGGGATCCAAAAACCCTCAGAAAACCCCGCTGCCAGCAGCGAGGCACCCTCCCAATCAGGGTATCTATTTAGGAAAAGCCGCATCCTTTCCACCCTCACCGGCGGCGTCCCTCTTACTTGCATGCTCGCCGGCACAGCCTTTACCTGCTTGAAGCAGAGTGACAAGAAATGGGAGCCACCACAACCGGAACATTCATGTTTAAACCAACATGACCCACCAAACCGACAGGATCCCTCGTTGAACTGCCAGCAGAAACCCCTGCGCTTCGTGGCTTATTGTCCCAGTGAAAACGAACTACCGGCCCTGTCCTGAAAAAACTGACTAGGGGTCCACGCCGGAGTCATAAGCCGCATCCAAAGGCCAATGTCCTTGTGGTCCCAACGCAAGGATGGGCAGACGGCCCTACGCTTCTGAAACTCTTCATCATAACGGAGCCAAGCAGTGCCCCCGTAACCCTGTGAGCCTCGCTAATAACAGAGATAACAGAAGAGCTGTTGCTAATGCTCC